AGGACCCAATCGTGTCATTTGGGTCATGGAGACTTTGCAGAGCTCCTCTTCGCATCCTGACCTTAACGATGCTGCCTGCAGCCTGTTCCCCTCTGCAGAGCTGGTATCCGAAAGAAGGACGTAACCCCCAGATGAACTAAAGCCGGGGGCAGGGAAGGTTGAAGTCAGGGTAATRGCAGGAAATGTTCACACAGACTAGCTGGGCACTCAGCTTGCAGATGTTGAAGCTGACTGAAACAACCTGCTTCCTATTTTGCTCCAAAATGGGCTGGTTGTGCGCTACCTGGTCTCAAATGCTGTGTATGGGACACAGATGAAATTTGTCTCCATCTCTCTCTCCAAAGGAACTTCTACCAGAGATTTTGCCTTCTCCTCAAGGGGGAAATTGCACTTAGGATTCGGGTGAATCCACACCGGTGATGCCAGTTTTGCATGGCCCAGTCAGGGTCTATAAGAACTATTCAGCTTTGAACCAGAATAAGGCTCAAGCTCTCTGCCAGTATAAATCCATCCACTGCATAGCCAGCAGTTGTGTTTAGACTCATTTTCAGCTCACAGTTTTCCTTCCTCTCTGCRTTAAATGGCTGGGCCATGATTGAAGGGTGAACTGATGCACATGGGGATACTTTAAGGGCAATTGCTCGAATGTTGGTGATTCGCTTTTGTCTGGGTTACAACACTAGTCAGAGATACAGATCTGAGTATTTCAGAAAAAGGCTTAAGCCCTCAGGGTGAATACACGTGATCATACTCTAAATGTCCCAGATCACTTCTGTTTGAATTTGGAAATGTTTGCATAAAGAATTTAATTGGCCTATAACAGACATTAAGAAGAAACAATTGTAATTTTATGTAAATTTATTTTTTAAAGCTCCCTAAATGCATATTTTCACCCTGAAGTCTCAGTTTATGGTGTGAACTCATAAACCTCTCCAAGAGCATTTTCCTGTGCCTCACCCMCTTTTAATATAGTCAAGATTCRCTCAGACAGGCRGCACTTGCCACCTTTCAGAGGTACRRAAAGYTGTGGAYYCCSCTTTGAGCACAGACTGGAGTGYTCTTATCAGTTCCTGTGCACCAGCTCTGTGCTAGAAGGTGACTGTGTTTTCAGTATCCACTTCAACAAAAGCATTTCTCAACCCCCAGAAGTATATACTGGGTGCTGCACACTGCTCTYTCCTTGTAGCTGTCAACTTGCTGGTGCCAAGGAGTTGCTGCTTGCTTGGAAAGTTGGCTGTGTGTGCTGAACTCTCCTGTTAGTTTTTGGTGACCAAGTTTCAAMATGGAAAAGCAGTTTAAAAGCCAGTAAATACAGATTCAATGTTACTATTCAAACCTGTCATGATCCAGGCGTGACTTGGCAAGCTGACCTCCGCCTCGCATCTCTTTCCCTCACTTAAGTGCCACGGCTCTTCTCCCACATGGGCATATTCTGCCCAGTCTCTCTCATCCAGGGCCTGGCAGTAGGTCAGGGACTTGCAGGAGATGGAGGCTTTGGGAAGGGCTGTACTTAGGTTTCCAAATCTCACATCTTTGAGTGCAGCTTGACATCACCGCCCCTTCTCTCGCTTGAGGTGATACAACATCCATTACCCAGCCATTGAGGAGTCTGCTACAGGTGGACTCTTCAGGAATTTGCTATTTCCATGTAAGCATTGCCTTTGTTTTCACAGATACATCATGCAGTGAGGATTGTGCTACAGCTGTGCTTTGGATTTTCATAGAACCCATGAGAGTGATAGGTGTTACTAGAAAGTTTTTGTGTGGAAGGAAAATCTTACCTGGATATCCTCTGTGGAAGACTAGTATCTTTGTCACCAATAGCCTATGTGGAAGCTTAAGTAAAACCAAGTTTGGTTCACAGATTTATCCCAGAAAGGCTTATTAGCAAAAGCTCATATTTTGCCTTTTAGAGTACTATAAGCCACTCTGTTAGGGTCCAAATGCAGCTTAATCAGGATTCCCTGGACAAAATATATGAAACAAGACTRAGCTGGTAATTTCTTTCCATTTCCCTTTTCATAGTTCCCAGTTCTCTATTTTCAAATAGCAGTTTCTTCTAGATTGAAACTGTGAGTATTTTACCTCAACCTGACTGAGGTGGAGAAAGGGCCCCCTTCAAAGAGCAGCAAATTAGAGGTGTAAATAATCAATTCCAGCCTGACAGGGTAAGAAAAGAGAGCTACTTTCAGTTCCTCACTTAGAAAGGCAAAATATTAAAGCACTGAATATTGTTTTCTTTCTGAGCTTTAGAATTATATACCCAGAAAACAAACAAGTCAGTATCTCTTATATCTCAAGGCCTCCTAGTGAAGACAAGCTAACTGCTTCTTGCTGCAGGTTATAAGTGCAGCTTTTAAAATAGTGCTTATAACTGTTGAGTATAAATGATCTCTCTTTGTTATTCCAACTATTTTTTAACTTTCAGTATCATATTTCTGTGAAAATATCATGTGAACTAAAGTATTATTCTCATGGCAGAACATTTTCAAGCTTCTACGAAACTTGCATTGTTATCAAAAACTGTTGTTTCTCTGTACTTAACATACACTCAGTTCAAAACCATTTTGCTCGCAGCCACAAACTGCTGATGTGCACAATAAAGCAATCATTTTGATCAGTTTGTTAACTCCAGTGTTGTTTTGTTTAAGAATCCCAGAACAGGATAGTTCCAGATCCACTGACTCAGAATTAAGGCCCATACAGTTGCACGAACACAACATCATATTCATGCCTGGTTTATGTAGAGGTGATTTATGTGGTTTACTTTTGCTGTGTAAAAGTCAGCCTTGGAGTGAAGTTCCAGGAAATGACTGGGACAACCCATCACCTTTCTTGCCATCTAATGGAGCAGTCCTGTATGTTTGACTGTGATAGGATAGTCCCAGATCAGGTTCAAGAAACAAAGGATGGAGGACAAATGGTGGATGATCATAACTGCCATTATGGTGGCAGCAGATCCCTTGGTCATCCAAGGATGAAAAGGAATCTAGATATTTTTAAAAYCTTCTAGATGCAATGAGCTGATGATAGGGAGGATAATTAGCCCCCATATCTACTTTTTAAGTGTCTGATGTTAGAGGGCATGAATCCTAAAGAAAATGCTCTTTAAACTGTATATATCACATAAAGTAAGCTACAGGATGCTTTACCTGCTGGCAATCATTGGAGTTAATGCCTGTGATTTTTGTTTGGAATGACATAAGGTAATCAGGTATGTATTATGCTGATATTGCCTTACCAAAACTATTAATGGAATAATTGGAATAAGTAGCTTGACCCAAATAAAAAACACTGACGACTCTGAACAAGTTTTGTCATAACTACATTCAAAATAAAAAATACGAAATCTGCTTGAAAAACTGATATGCCCCATTTTGATGTTTTTGTTGTGATACAGATTGGGTTTTGTTTTGAGACAGACTATTAGTTTTGAATATTTTTATTCTCACCATGTAACGTAAAAAGGGGACATGGGAACAACATATGACAGTTTGATTTCGTTGCAGCAAGAGATTTATTTTTCTGAGAAATTCTGGCGTTTCAGTTCAAATCAAAGTCAAATTTTGTAAGCCTGTATTATTTGAAACTCAAAACCTCTGCTCCCTGCAGCACTCTGTTCACTTAACTGACATTTGCCTGCTAATTTTCAGATTGAGGGTGCTTGGCATGGAGTATTGGCCTTTCAGCATTCTTGACAGGCATTCAGCCTGTCTTGTGTATCATTGGCTGAAGAACACATCGTCCTCTTTGGAGCAGTGTGAAACTGTTGTGCCCTGTATCACTGCTTGAATCGTATTTCTCTCTTAATTTAGGTTATCATAGAGCACAGAATGACAGCTACTGTTAAATGCAGTTTTCTTCTTTTGTATAATCACTGGTTTCAAGTTGTTAATAATAATTTGCACCATTATGAGAACACAYGCAGCCTCAAGCAAGGACATTTACAAAAGGTTACATTCATTGTAAAATATTTTGAAAAACTTAYAAAATGTGTTTGGACTTAACGCAGCATTATGCTTATCTCATAGATATAATCAAATTAAAACATCTGTTGTGTGTAATCATCCATCAGAAAAAGGAAATCAGCTTGCTATCAACTCCTGCATACATCAGAGGCAACAAGAATAATGTTATCTTCAAGATTTATCTCGGTAAAGCTTTCTGCACAAATCTCCTGAATGACACTTAGCAAAATAAGGTTTTGAAATATTATTCAAATTAGCACTAGATTCTCAGGGCTCCGCCATTCTCATGATCTCTGACTTTTAGCTACAATGCAAATCAACCATTTCTAAGCTTCACTGAATTGGCTTGCTCTGTGTTTACCGTGAATGTATAAATACCCTGCAACAGTGAAAGCAGAAGTACGTTAGTGTCAGAAGAGATATCCTTCTGCAGTGCTYCTGGCAGGAAACACCATTAATCTCACCACACAACCTTTAAAACTAAAATTTCCATCGC